CATCGTACTCTTCCCTCTCCTCAGTAACTTTAGTAACTTAAGGGCCTGGGTTTTTTTTTGGAGGTGGGGTGGGTTGGGGTTCCACATCAATGACCTCCAGGACTCCCAAGCTACTTGAGTGATAAGCTGGAGTCCACGGGTATCCAGCTGCCTCCAGGCTTAGCCCTTGCAAAGTTCATGGGGTCCACAGTCTTTTTGTCTGGAACAGACCTCTGCTTCTGTCCCTCAGCTGAATGCAGCCACAGGACCCCATGGCCTCCACTCTTAACCCCTTCCGCAAAACAGTTTTTGTCAACCAGGAGAGGGGTGTCATTTGCTCAAGACCATTCCAAGGTTCAAGACATTTGCTTTCAGAATAAGGTCTAAGAGACCCCATGTAGCAAACACAGCCCTGAATTAACACAGCTCTCTGGAGCCCAGGCTTTGGGCTCAGGTGCATCTACATTTGAAAACTGAGGCTAATCAAAGATTCAAGTGCAAGTGGACCTGAATTTATAATCTTGAGTAATTTTCTTAACCCCTATAATTCTTAATTTCCTTGATGGCAAAATGATGATTATAATGCCTACTATGTTGCTGTTGAGTTGGTTTCAACTCATAGCAACCCTGCATAGGCTTTCTGAGGAGCCACTGGTGGGTTCGAACCACCAACCTTGTGGTTTGCAGTCCAGTGCTGATCCTACAGCACCACGCCGGAAGTCCTAATATAAAAGGTTATAAGAAGCCCTGGCTGCTAACTGAAAAGTCAGTAGTTTGAACTCACCAGTGACTCCATGTGAGAAAAGATCTGCTCCTATAAAGGGTTCACAGCCTAGGTTCACAGCCTAGGGCTATTCTACTCCGTTCCATGAGGTCATTATGAGTTGGTCATTATGAGCTGGAATTGACACGATGTCATCCAACAACAACACCATAAAAGGCTACTATGAAGTCTCTGTACCCAGCCCAGGCCTTAGGCTAGAGCAAGGGGTTTGGTGGCCTGTGCACTGGGTGAAGGTAAAGGCTGTGGTGGTGAAGTTGCCAGGACTAGGGAAGATGATGAGGCCAGTTTTGGACATGCTGAGTGTGAGGGGCCTATGGGTGTCCCAGGGAGATGTCCAGGGGCAGCTAGACACATAGTCCAGAGCAAGGACTTGGCTAGAGTCTGAGCGTGGGAGCTACCAGCATGTGAGTAGGAAGATGAGCTCATAGTGGGGAGGAGGGGCAGGCTGAGTAGGAGTCGTCCATGGTCAGAGGTTGACCCACATGGAAGAGGAGCTCTCAAAGGAGGCTCCAGTGAGCCTGAGAGGTAGGAAGAAATCCAGCCGTGGATGGCTTCACAGGAGCCTATGGGAGAAAGGATTTGAAGCAGCAAGGAGTGGCTTTGAGGAAACCCACTAAGATGTCCTTCATGGTGATCTTTGGAGTCGGCAGGAGTGCGTGCTAAAGTTGGGCTGGAGTGGAGGGGTGGAGATGGTGTTTATGACCAGCACTGAAAAAAACATGACTAAGAATAGAGAGAGAGAGCAGAAGAACAATGCTTGAGGAAGGACTGAAGAGAAAATTGGTCTGTATTGTGGTCATCAATGGAGGAGGCCAGAGCCCATGTGTGTGCTACTGGACAGGGGTCTATGGTTAGTTACGACATCCACAGTGCCCAGCACAGAACCTGGCGTTCAGTAGGGGGCTCCATAAAAGTTTGCTGTCTTTGAGAAGGGGGAGATGGGGCATTAACCCACAATGCCACACCAAGACTCCTTGGATATTGGTAGGACTAGACAATCTGCCACATTTTTATATAAACTGGAAGGGTGGTGGAGGTGTCAAGGTAAGCAGGGTGTAATGTAGGGCCCCTCAGAATTCTGCTGTATCTGATCTGGATCACAGAGGGCAGAGGAGGTGATAAGGGAATGCTTGGCTCCAAGAACCCCAGTGTAGTAAGGAGACAGAGTCATAGATGCTTTAGAGACTGTCACTTGGTGCCCTAACCTTTCTTCCCCATCGCCCCTTGCCATCCCCAGACTTTCCCCTCTTGCCCAAATTCAGCATTCACATGGTCTTAATCCTCCTTCAGAACTGCGCCCTCTCCAAAAGGCCAGCAGATGGTGCCAGTGAGCTACTGGACTCGGAGTAAACCAGTGACCTGTGGACCTCCAAAGCCTGGGGCATGCTAAGGATGCTGTTAACCCTATGATTAGGTTTTTGACCAAAGTTGGGTGCAAAGAACTAAGGGTGACTGAGAGCTTAAGGGCAGGGGTGGCTCAGGGCCTCTGCTCCTCCCCTTCTGGTTGCCCTTCATTCTTCTGCCCCTGCCAGGTCCTGTCTTATCTGCGGGGGCACCTGCCCTCTCCCTTCTTACCTTCTCTCCCCTGGAGGCCCCCTGCCAGCCCAGACTTCTGGTTTTGGCAGACACTGGTTCTCTGCCTTTAGGTAGGCGCTACCTGGCACCAGTACTCAGACAGGGCTGGGCCAGCCCCTCCCCAGTGTGACTGCCAGAACCACCTTCTATTTTCAAAGGGTTTCCACCTGGTGAGGGCTCAGGGGTCATCAGTTCCAGGAGGCCATAAGGGGCTGGAGCAAGGAGGAGGCTGGGTCTCCTTGGGATGGGGTGAAGCAGTTTATATAAAAACATGGAAGATTGTCTAGTCCTACCAATATCCAAGGAGTCCTGGTGTGATGTTGTGGGTTAATGCGCTATACTGCAAGGTTGGTTTAAACTGCAAAGTCAGTGGTTCAAGCTCACCAGTCACTCCTCAGAAACCCTATACAAGATCGCTATGGGTCAGAACCGACTCAATGACACTTTAACAACAATAGCAGCAACCAACATCTAAAGCCCACAAGGCTAATGATTCTGCCTAAGATGGCACAGTGCCCCAGAAGCTGAGCTGTAAGTGACCCCTACTCTCACTCCTAAGTCATCATATGCTTCAAAGCCAATGGCAAGCCCTACACCCACCTCAGCAGGTCTCTCTTCTCCAGGATTCTTCACAAGACAATTCTGGGCCCTGCTTCTCAATCTCTATGATCACCTTGTTTGCCTTTCTCCACCACACTGCTCTTTGACTCCTGCTTTGGCAAGAGCTGGTACTATCTGTGTGGCCTTGGCCCTGAAGGCTGTCCTAGCCCCCACCTTTCATCCCTCTCTCCCAGCCCCAAGGGGAACCCTTGATGGACTGAGGCTGGCAAAGCAACAGCCAGACTCTAGGTGGGATGGCTAGAGGTGGGGGGTCTGAACACTTCGGGCTGTACTACTCAAAGCAGGAAGCCAGGCCAAGGAATCAATGAGCCTGGGATACAGATTTAGGGCAAAAGGAGGTAGTGGGTTTTGGAAAGGGAGTCCCTGTATTTCCAGACACAGGTGAAGCAGACAGAGAGCAAAAAAGTCATGGAAAACACATACAGGACACATAAATGATGTTCATATATACATACACATACAGAGAAAGTTATTACACAGGGAGAAATACAATTGTAATTGCATAAACAAGTCATGGCCCCCTTGGACACACTCACAGGCCCACAAGGCCATGTACCCGAAGTGAGGCACACAGATTTTCCCCATGCAAGTTCTGCTACCTGGGGCCAGGGTAAATTTACCGGTGAAGGGATAGGTGGAGGCCTAGGGGTGGCCCTGGGTGAGTGATAGGTCCTCCACCCAGAACCTTTGCTTGAATGGGTCAGGCTCCTAGCCTCTCCCTGAAATCCCCCCTGACCCACCAGAGTGGATGGCAGAGAAGGCTTTGGAGAAGCCTTGCTGTACAAGCCTTATTGGAGAAGCCTTGTAGAATACTACCACGTTGCTCTGGCAGAGTCTGGGCACCCGAGACAGCATGAGCACCAGAACTGGGCTGGGAGGAGTGACTAGGAGCCCATGACCTCTTGGGACCTCTTGGGCAGGAATGAGGCCCTGGGCAAGATCTAGAAACTCACAGGAAGCAGCAGGGAGCCCCTCTGCCATGGGCTGCATCTACTCCCCTCAACATAGTGCCTGGCAGCCAGTGCCTGGAAGAGCCCTGGCATGGATGCCAGGCACAGGGTGCCAGACTGGGGGTGGGCAGGGTGGGGGGCCTTTAGGCCACCCACAAACATAGACATTTGAATACATAGGCAGGGACATGTCCACTCACTTTATCCCCTGGGGAGTCACAAGAGCAGGACACCAGGAGCTCCTGGGGGATGGCCTTCATTGACTCCCCAGGTGTCCTCATAGGTCTGGAGTGCCCAGGGCCAGAGGAAACAGGAGGTCTAGACGCTTCTTCTGACTCCCCACCCACTCACCCCACCACAGACACTGTGTGGCAGTAGGAATTGGGGGTGGTGTATCCTCAGGGTTGGGCCCCAGTGGAGAGGTGAAAGGCGGGGCAGAGAATCTCAGGAACCCAGATGACCCCTCCAACCCTGGTCCCAGGCCAGCTTTGTGTCCGGCAGCCTAGGTGTGAGCACATGTCCGCGCGTGTTTGTTAGGGAGCAGTGGCCGCACAAGGCTTGAAAGTGTGGCGGAGTGAAGGCGGGTTGGTTTTCTAGAGTGCCGGCAGGCCCCCGCGGCCCCGCAGTGCTGTCAGAGTGGGGAGCCAGCAAAGAGTCTGTGCGTGTGTTCAGGTGTCTCCAGCAAGTGTGAACTGGGTGTGCTCACCTCGGAGCGACGCAAAGCGCGTGTGTGGGTGAAGGGGTGACCAGGGTGCAGGGCTAGCAGACTCAGAGCGATCAGCACCTTCTCCAGCGCGATCCGCGGCGAGGCGGCGCCTACTAGCGCAGCAACTTTGTGACTTTGTTCCGGCTTCTTCGAAAGCGGATCCGGCTGCGGGGGCGGGGTGGGGGGGGCACCTGCCCAGCCTGGGGTGCGCGGGGAGTAGAGGAGGCGAGTCCCGCCCCGCCCCGCCCCACCCTCGCCCCGCCCCCGGGGCTATTTATATGCTCGGGCCAGAGGGCCAGCAGAGAAAGCGAGTATCCCTCCTGCTCAAAGCCGAATCTCTGCTGCACCCCGCTTCTGGGCTCCGTGCCCCTAGACCCAGCCCGGTCCCCACCCCGGTCCAGTCTATCCCTGCCCGGCCGCCATGGAGCGCTGGCCTTGGTCGTCGGGTGGTGCCTGGCTGCTGGTGGCTGCCCGCGCGCTGCTGCAGCTGCTTCGCGCAGACCTGCGTCTGGGCCGCCCGCTGCTGGCGGCGCTGGCTCTGCTGGCGGTGCTCGACTGGCTGTGCCAGCGCCTGCTGCCTCCGCTGGCCGCACTCGCAGTGCTGACCGCCGCCGGCTGGATTGCATTGTCCCGCCTGGCGCGCCCGCCGCGCCTGCCAGTGGCCACTCGCGCGGTGCTCATCACCGGTGAGTGCGCGAAGCTTGAGGACGCCAGGCTGGAGGGCGGTACCCGGAGGGCTCCCCTGGGCACGGTTCTGCAGGCTTCCCCAGCGCACGCGTGGGAGAGTCCCCTTCCCGGGTGCAGGGAGTGAGCCAAGAAGGAAGCATTTGGCACCTCCCTAAGGCTAGTTACTACCTGCCGATGAGGGGGGTGTTGGAGGGAAAGTGAGGCAGGGAACGGGCAGGTGCTCTGAGGTAATTGGTGACTGACTTCCTGGAGCTTGGGGATTTGTGCTGTGTACCTCCCGAAGAGAGCATTTTTAGGGGCAAAAAGCAGTGAATGCTGTGAGGGGCTTCAGAGGATTTGAGATGCATCATCCGTTGAACTCTGCCTGATGACTACACATGAAAGGTCCCATCTCCTTTCCTCCTGAGGAAGAAGCTTAGATGGGGAGCTGGGATACCTCTCCACTTGATCCCTGAAGTACAGGAAAGTTTGTGGTCACCATGAGGGGACAATTGGGCATTCAGCTGTCTCTCAGGTCCTTCTATGCCCCTTCTTTAAGCTACTGAGGAAGTGGTCCAAAGCCTGCACCTAGCACCCCTTCACCCTCTCTCCTGGTCTTCAATGACCAGGAAGGAGGTCTTGGAGAGCTGGACTCAGGTGCTTCGGGCTGCCTGGCTGAACTCCCTTTGTCTGGAGTGGGGAATAAATCTGTCAACAGATTGAGAGAAGGGGAAGGGGATTGGAGACCCAGCCGGAAGTGGGGAGGGGGAGAAGGACCAGGGGCTTTCCAAAAGGGGGCACTGGCTCCAATGCCTGCGGGGAGGAGCAGGCTAGACTCTCTTCCAACCTGAGGGCTTTAGACAGGTGCTCTGGGCTGTGCCCTTTCACTGGACCTAGACTGGAGGCAGCTCCTACACCCACTTCTCTGAGACCCCAGTCCAATAGGGACCCTGCATGATTGGCTTGGAGATAGGACTGGGAGAACTTCCCAGAGGAGATCCTTGAACAGAGCCCTCAGGATGAGTGGAGATAGGTGGAGTGGAAAAAGCAGTTTAGATCAAAGCAAGGCTGTGGGACAAAGGCTTGAAGCCAGAATGAGTGTGGCTCAGTAACCAGCCTGGCTATGGAAGTGTGATGGAATGTGAGGTTGTTTGCTGGGAAGGACCCTTGAATGCCAGGGAAGAAGCCAGACTATGCTGAGGCCCACAGGGCCCACGAGGACTTTGGGCTTCAGCTAAGAGGAGAGAAATGGAGGCAAGTCCCAGGTTAGATGTAAGATACCTAAATTCAATGTGCAACGTGAAGTCATGGGGATCCTGGTTTTATGGACCCAAACTCCAGGTGTGCCATGTAGCCTTGGGGAACCCTGGTTTCTGGGATTTGAAGAAAGCAGTGAGTCTACTAGTCTGAAGCAGGGACTAAGTTGTGAGCTCTGTCCCCAGGGACAGGGCAGCCTTTTCAACATGGCCCAGGCCATCTGCAGGTACTAGGGACCTACCCAGCTGAGCAGTCTTTACTGAAACCTCCCCTCAGGTTTTTGTGCTGAGAGCCTCTGAGTGAGGTGAGGGAGAAGATATGTTTTGTGACTTGGATTCCCCCATCTGTGGTCACAGAGTCTAGAGGTGGTGGTGTGGGGGCAAGCAGGCAGAGTGATCCTCCAAACTTCCTAATGCCAAAAACTCTGGGGTTGTCTCTCGCTACCTGGCTGCAGGACAAGCAGGTGACCAGACGCTGCCCCACCTCCCCAGAGATAGTGCCCATCCCTCCCAGAGAATGTTTAGCCAAGTCTATGTAGTTCTTCAGGGCTCAGCCCTGGGGTAAGGACTTGGGGCGAGTGACTACGTGTGTGTGTGTGCGCGCGCACATGGACTTCTGTCTGGAGAGCGTGATCCTGTGTGTGAATGTCCAGCAGGTTGGAGGTATGTACTGGTATATGAGTGTGTATAGGTGAGCAAGAAAGTGCAAGGTACAGGTTGACTGTGTCTGGTCTGGGAGGCCTCAGTTTCCCCTTAGAGGCCTTGGCTTCCCTGGAAGGAAGTTGAGGCAAGTGGGTATACACATGCTCACTCTTCTTCCCCAGCCAGTCTGGCCTGGGAAGGACCCTCAGCCCAAAGCCAGCTTGCAGCCCCCTGCCCAGCTTTGTTCTTGCCCTCTGCAGAGGGGGCGGGCCTGAGATAGGGAGGGGTGCTGAGCTGTCCAGGAGAGGGGAAGCAGAGTGCTTTTTCTGCTTCTGCTCAGTAGGACCACCCGGGACAGACTCAGAGGGCCTCCTCCCCCACTGGCTTTCCCCCTCCCCTTGCTGGCCGCCCACAGAGCCAGGATCAGAAAGAGAGCAAGCAAGGAAGCAGGCGCTTATCAGGTATCACTCACTACTGACCCCCACAATGGCTCTGCCTGCTGGTTCCTCTCGCTACTCACCCAAGACAGGAAATGAAGACTTCAAGCATGGTAACTGACCTCAGGTCACACTTGATGGGTGTAGGAAGGGATTCAAATGCTGGTTCTTTTCTCCATCCATCATGGTCCCTTTCCTAGAGGCAAGTGATCTAGGGCTCACAGAAGGCCCCCTGTTGTCATGGATTGGAATTCCAAGGGGTCAAGGATGAGGTGGGGGTGGGCCTCCAGCTTGCCTGGACTCTGGAACAATAGCAGGGGGTGTTGAGACTGGGAAGGGAGTGGGGATCAGGGTGTCTAGGACCTGAAAAGCTAAGGGCTTGAGCTTCTTCCTGAGGCCTGTGGAGAACCTAGGAAGAGTTTTAAGCAGCAGAGTGATAGTGTCGTTTTTGGGAAAGTCCTTCTGGCTCCTAGGTAGAGAGTGTATCCAGCGGGGTAAGATGAGACAGGACTAGAGAAGGGGTGCATCAGCGTCCAGGCGCAGGAAGGAGAAATGTGCACAGTGAGGAATGAAGGGAAATTGCGTAGCAATACTGTGCATGGACGCTGTGCCCTGGCATCAAGGAACATGGAGTCCTGACCTTGCTTTTCCCTAGCTAAGTGACTTCAAGAAGCAGGTTAACATTGCTGAGTCTCAGTTTTCTCATTGTAAAGTAGGTTCATACATCATGCTGTGGGAATCAGGGAGATGTGAAGGAGTTGCTGTGAAGGACTTGGTGCTAGAGATGCTTAGCCAGAGGGCATAGCCTGCCAGAGATGGGTCTCAGGAAGGCGGGCTGCCCACTGCTCCTGGGCTGGGTGCCCAGGGGCCTAGATCTTCTGACTCTGATGATCCTGGCGACTCTGGGTTGTCACTGGCTGGTTTGGACCACAGTAGGTGCTGACTGACTGTTCTATCCCGGTCAGGTTGTGACTCTGGCTTTGGCAAGGAGACAGCCAAGCAATTGGACACCATGGGCTTCACGGTACTAGCCACTGTGCTGGACTTGGATAGTCCCGGTGCCCTCGAGCTGCGTGCCTGCTGTTCCCCTCGCCTAAAGCTCCTACAGATGGACCTGACCAAGCCAGCGGACATTAGCCGAGTTCTGGAGTTCACCAAGACTCACACTTCCAGCTCGGGTCAGTGGGCATCACTAGGTGGGTGTGAGATGGGGGCAGGGATTGGAGGGTCACTCTTGGGCTGACTTGCTACTCCCTACTCTGTTCTCTCAGGCCTGTGGGGCCTGGTGAACAATGCGGGCTACAATGCCGTTGTGGCTGATGTGGAGTTGTCACCAGTGGACACGTTCCGCAGTTGCATGGAGGTCAACTTCTTCGGTGCGCTTGAGCTCACCAAGGGCCTCCTGCCGCTGCTGCGTCAATCCAGGGGTCGCATTGTGACCGTGGGCAGTCCGGCTGGTGAGTTTCCTCCCCCACTTGGAGAGGAACAGGAACTGTGGGATGGAGCTGGGGAGACCTGGGTGGAGGCCCCTTGCCAGAGACTGAGCTGTGACTCTGGTCCACAATCCATCCCTAGGAGACATGCCATACCAGTGCTTGGGGGCCTATGGGACCTCCAAGGCAGCCGTAGTGCTGCTCATGGACACATTCAGCTGTGAGCTCCTGCCCTGGGGGATCAAGGTCAGCGTAGTCCAGCCCGGTTGCTTCAAGACAGGTAAGGTCTGGGGCTGGGGCAGACGGAGGGTGGGTGGGTAGTAGTGGCTTTAGTGGTGGTACTGTGGGATAAGCATTGGGTTGCTGACCGCAAGGCTGGCAGTTCAAATTTACCAGCTGCTCTCCAGAAGAAATATTTGTCTGTCTGTTCCAGTTAATATTTACACTCTCTGAAACTTTATGTAGGGTCGCTATGAGTCAGAATGGACCTGTTGACAATGGGTTTCTATTGTTTTTTAACTTTGGGATTAATCCCTGGAAAAGAACATCATGTTTGGTAAAGTATGTGCAAAAGGGGAAGCCGACGAAAAAGAAGACCCTCAACAAGACGGATTGACAAAGTGACTGCGACAGTGGGCTCAGACATAACCGTGATTGTGGAGCATGGCACAGACACTGTTTCGTTCTGTTGTACATTGTTAAGTCAAGTTGGTTCCCACCCGTAGCGACCCTGTATTGGGTTTTCAAGGAGCGGCTGGTGAGATTGAACCGCCCACCTTGAGGTCCAAACCGACCTTGCAGTCCAGCGCATTAACCCGAGGCGCCACACCAGGACGCCACAGGGTCACGATTAGTTAGTTGGAACCAACTGGGGGTACCTAACAAGAAGACTGTAAATAAAGGGCTGTTGTTGTTGTCATGTGCCGTTGAGTCGGTTCCGACTCATAGTGAGCCTGTACAGGATTTCCGAGGCTGTAAATCTTTACAGGAGCAGAAAGCCTTATCTGTCTCCCACGGAACAGCTGGTAGTTTCGAACTGCTGACCTTGCGGTTCACAGCCCGATTCAAAACCACTATGCTACCAGAGCTCCTTAAATAAAGGGTGGGCCTGGTCGTATCTGTGAGCGGAATCAGACTGTAAGAATGGGCGTGGCCTGACCCTGTCACCCCCTACTCCAGAGTCCGTGCTGAATGTGGGTCGCTGGGAGATGAGCAAACAGCTGCTGCTGGCCAACCTGCCCAGAGACCTGCTGCAGGCCTACGGCAAGGACTACATCGAGCACTTGCACCGGCAGTTCGTACATTCGCTCCGCCAGGCGCTCCCTGACCTCAGCCCAGTTGTAGATGCCATCACCGATGCGCTGCTGGCCGCCCAGCCTCAGCGCCGCTATTACCCGGGTCGCGGTGTCAGCCTCATGTACTTTATTCATTACTACCTGCCAGAGGGCCTGCGGCGCCGCTTCTTACAGTTGTTCTTCATCAGTCCCTGTCTGCCACGTGCACTGCAGCCAGACCAACCTGGCCCTACCCCAGGCCATTCCCCAGGGGAGGCCCAGTGAGCAGGCACACCGCTCCACCATAGGAGGCTCCAGGCACCCCTAGTCCCTTCCCTGGGCATTGTGAGCCCCTACATAGGTCCTAAAGCCTGACTGAGAGAGTCAGGCCCCATCTGCTGCTGGGTGCCCTGCTCTAGGCCCAGTGAGGCTTAGGTTGACCAGGGAGTTGCCAGACCTCTCCACTGCTTCCTGAGCCCAAACCAACCTTCCTGGGTACCACATTCCCGTGCATACTGGATGGGGTGGTGTAGTGCAAGACTTAGCTGTGGTCTTTGACAGGACCCCACAGATAGTGCCTCTGCAAACTAAGAAGAGACTGGGTGGGTTGGGGACCCTCTCAGGACTGTTTCTCAGCACCAGTGCCTCAGTGCCGAGATTCAAAGGGTAAATCCCAGCTGCCTCTTGACTGGCTCAAGAATCAGCCCCTAACCACCCATCTCCAGCCCCCAAGCCACAAGGAGGCTGTATATTCTACTTGCTAGATTGTTACTTTTTCAATAAAGACATGTTTTTATTTCTTCTAGAATGGGGACGATGCTGTGTTTGGAATGGGTGGCTGCCTTCCCCCTTGAGCAAATCATATATCCATACGTTTGGGTTTCCTCTAATGAAATGGGGATAATGACCCTGATCCCAAAGTTGTGGGGCTCAATGAAGCAAACAGGGAAGGAAGCCTGGGGCCCTGCAGGCCAAGACCCAGCTCCACAGGCCTGTCTCTCCATCTGAGCCTCCAGTAGAGGCAGGGGGTACCCACCAGGTCCCCCCAGCCCCATGGGACCTGGGCTACTAGGAGAGAAGGCCAGCCTGGGGCTGCTAGCTCAGAGAGGGAATTAGGCTCAGGTAAGGGTAGGCTCAGTAAGAGTGGAGTAAGGTGGGGGGGAAGCTGGGAGTCTGAGAGAAGCATTAGAGCCCAAAGGAGACAACAGACAGATGGACTCAGAGAGTACAACTTTATTATCTCAGGGAGGGAACACAAGGGGGGGGGGGCATGGAGCTACTTTTCTCCTTTCCCCCAGCACATACACTCTAGCCTCCTTTCCCTTGGGCTATGAGGGTGACCTGTAGAGGGAGAGGAGGCCCCCACTGCCCCCAGTTCTCAAGTTAGGGAGAGACATGAAAGTGACCACATGCTTCTCAGACATGTCAATGGCTGTAAACACAGGGCTAATGGGTCTCCTTGCTCTGGAGAGTTTGGTCCGTCCTTGACATGGGGAGCAGGTGCCCAGCCCCCTTTTCAGACCCAAGAGCAGTATCAGAGAAGGCCAGGGAGGCCGGGCAGCTGCTTCCCCTCAGGGCTTTGTCACAGCACACAGACACACACAGTGCACAGTGGGAGCCTCGGGTCAGGTCTAGAAGATGGGGATGTAGTTATCGATCTTGGCACGGTGGCGCTGGGCGATGCACTCGGCGATCCACACAATGTTGCGGCATTCTTGCTCCTTGAGCTTCACAAAGGCATAGAAGACCCCGAAGTGGAACTGGTTCAGGAAGGCCAGCTTGTTCAGCTTCACCTGTGAATGGCAGCAGGTGTGGCAGAGTGGTCATGATCACCAATCCCTCCCCAAGAAAAGGCAGGCCCAGTGACGGGCAGCCTGCACTCACCTCGTGCTCGAAGAATCGGTCCTCCAGGGTCTTGTCTCCAGGGTTGCTACCTGCTCCCTCGAAGAGCAGCTTGTACTCCTGGCCCAGGGAGAGTGGTGACAAGCATGAGCATGCAAGGGCTATTGAGTGTGGAGGGGGTGGGGAGGCATAGTGCAAGATGCTCACCAGCGTCCTGCCTGTCAGGCCACTCACCGGGTAATAGTCAGCCACGTTCTTAACCTGCTCATAGTCATCAGCTCGGGCCAACTGGGCCAGGCCCTCAGGGTAGAGTCGCCCACAATGTGGGAAGAGCTTGGCGCGGTCCTCCTTGGATAACTCTGTGCCGAAGGAGTTGATGGTGATAATGAAGGCGCGGCGGTCGGCTTCAAACTGGGGAGCCAGTGCACAGGCAGCAAGGAGAGAGGAGGGAGGCAGTGGTCAGTCAGCTGGGTTTTCCCCTGGACCAGGGCTACTCGGTGAGACAGGAAGGCAGGGAGGTGCATACTCACCTCCAGGATGGGGCACATGGCATCGGCCGTGGTACCGCCCAGAAGGGTGCAGAACTTGTAGAAGGACTCCAGGTATGCCTGTGCAGAGCAGGGGACTTGCTCAGCTCAGACAGGGAGGCTCTGGGGAAGGTGGGGAGGGGGGCCTCTCCCTCCCTCTTCTCTGCCCCTTCCCAATCCCTTTCATGGTGAGTCCGAATATCATATCCACAGATTGGCCAGGGAAGCCTTCAGGTCAAGTCCCTGAAAAATCCACATTCCAACTGCTAATTAGGCAAGCAGCAATAGATGACTGCTGCAGGGCACAGTGTCCCTCACCCCTGGCCCCAAAGTGGGACAGGCTCAGAGGAAGCCTGTCTTCTCCCTGCCTCTCTGTTTGCTTCCCATCTACCAAATCTACCACCTCTTCCTCAGCCAGACCCATGGCAGCCACAATTTAGAGAGGGCAAGGTAATCTTGGAAGCTCAACAGATGGCCTAAGATGGGTGGGCACCTCTGCCAGCCCGTTTCCCTGTGCATCACACAGCAGGACCAAATTGTCAAAGCTGAGGGATGGTTACCGCCTATGAGACATCAGTGTGTCAGGGCACTCAGGCTGGTGGCAACAAGCACTTCATGTGCAAGCAAACTGTATCTGCTGATCACAAGGGGAAGGCGGTTCAGCCAGGCCCTTCCAGCATTCACACACACAGAACCAGCGAACACCTTCCTTCCACCCACTATGTGCCAAGGAATGGGGCTTTCAGTCTTGATGGAGAGCCCCTTTGCATAGCACCCTTCACTCTCAGGACCTCTCTACTTCCTAGCGGCATGGTCACAGGGAGTCGGATTCTGAAGGCCAGAGTCAAGGTCTTATGAGCTGGAGCGGGACTGGGAGGCTTGGGGAACATTCTGAGCTGCAGCCTGCCTTTCAAGGTACATATATCCCTTTCTACCCATCACACGCTGACTTGGGCCCACACACTGCTCCCAGGAGTCTATGTGTCCAGCCTAGCATGGCTAGCAGCAGTGGGCAAGCTGGGCTTTGGGAAAGCCTGAGGGAAACAAGAGTCCAGGTCAGCTCAGGTCAGAGGAAATCTAGATGGGGGACAATGGGTCTCAGCATGGAGGATTCCCAGGATGGGAGAGCCAGGGTAGCAGAGATGGCTTAGTGGTGCCACCCAGTCCCTTGAGGAGTCTGCCCCCAGCCATTGTTTTCCCCAGGGTCAGCCAAGCTGGCTGTGCCTGAGCCCCAGGTCTGCAGTCCCTTTATTTGTGGAGGAAGTCACCAACCAGGTCTTGGGCTGCATACCCTGCCATCAGTCCACTAGCTTAGCTGAGCCAGGCAGATCCTGGAAAGGCTGAACCCAGAGCTGGGGCGTCTGATGGGATTAGGGTTAGGACAGCAGCTGAAGAAACTGGCAAGACCCCAGAAGCCTAGGTGTCAAGGTCACCTCCCTACCCCACTGCCGTCCCGGGAGTCTGCCAGCCCATGGCTGCTGTACCAGCTGCCTACAGTCCCCACCTGCCGGCTGGTTATGGGTCTGCCTAATCTCCCATCTGTGGCTACTGGGCTGGGACATCATCTGATGGGCGGGAGGTCCTGGCACAGGGCCCGAAGTGCTGGGTTGGTGTTTATGAACTGGTGCCCAGGCAGCCCTCGCCAGCAATTCTAGCTAGAACCAGTCAGGCTCGGTGAGAGTGAGGGTATAGGTGAGGTTGGGGGACAGCCACACCCCTCACTCTGTCTCAGGGCAGGGAACACGGCAATGGGCCAGCTGGGTGGGTGGGAGCCCCAGGAGCGCGTGCGCACACACACCCACACATGGACACCCACACACACTTGGCTGATGAGCTGACCTGCCTCCTTGTTAGGGTAAGAGAGAGCACTGGCTTTGCAAACAGGCTGCCAGTGATGTGCTGTGTGGCGCAGGAGACCCACTCCACTTCTCTGAGCCCTCAGTTTCCTCATTTTGCAAAGGGAGATAATGATGCCTATCTAGCTCCTAGGGAGGTCCCTACACTCCGGGCTGCCGCCGCCTGCTGCTTACCAACTATCTGCAACCATGATGAGAAAGGACCCTCACTGGAAAGATCTGACAGACAGATAGATGTCTGAAGGGTTCAGTCAGCAGGTCCCTTGGCTAGTGCCACCCCAGTGCGTCTTTGGGGCCTGGCCACTGTTGATCCACACTCCTGGCTGCAGCCCATTCAGGGCTCAGTACCTCATGATGCCCAGAGCTTGGTCTGTCCCAAATGTTCCTGACTAGGCCTGGCCAGACCCCTTCCTTGCTCTCTGGGCCATCATGGCAGCGCTAACCCAGGAATCTCAAGCCCACCCTTTATCTCCAAGGGGACCCAACTTATGCTGCAACCTGGTGGGGAGCAGAAGGCGGGTAGGGGGTGGGGATGGTGGGAAATGGCGCTGGCTCTGGGCCTGGAAACCTGAAAGGGCACGGGGACCTGGCTACACCTGGCTGGCTCCCCACCCCCAAAGAACAAACTGCTACCTTTGCTCCAATGCCTGTCTTTGCTAGCAACAGCCCAGGTGGGGTGGGCCTGAAGGTGGTGGCTCGTGACCCTCCTGGGGGCAGGGGAGCGTCGTCCAGGAGCCAGCTCTGACAGGCCAGGCTGAGAGCACCAGCCCTCCTGCTGATCTTATCTGTACATGCCGCCGGCGTCATAGGATGGAGAACCTGTTCCATGCAGCCTTGCACCCATCACAGAAGCCAAAGAGTAAGTGGATAAGCCCCCGGGACAGGAGCCTGGTGTGGCTGCATCCTGTCACACCACCCCATATAAATTCCATTCTGCCATGACCCCACCTGCTTGCAGGGTGCAATACCTTGTAGAGTGTGTTCCGGATAATCTCGATGTTCATCTCATCCAGGTCCTGCTCCGAGATGCAGTCCTGGAAAAAAGCCGCTGGGCAGAAAGGCGAGGGTGTAAGGGGTGGACAGGTGGCCTTGGCTTAAGGGAGAGCGCTAGCACAAGCCCATCTGGCTGGGTACAGGTTTGCGGGGAGGAAGGCCCCCAACCAGTGGGCATGGACCCTGTTATTGCCTTGGAAGTGGCAGAAGCAACACTGTGAGCCATGCAGACTGACCTGGCCTGCTTCTACTTCCTTGCTCCTAAAATTGATTTATAAAGGAGGCAGCCAGCCACAGCATGATCTAATCGCCTCTGGGGCAGACCCAAGTTCAGACCATGCCAAAGACAGGCTTGCATAAGAGGCTGGGATACCTTCCCTTCAAGAGGGGCAGTTGTGGACTTGGGCCTGATGCTTGCTTCTCTACAGCCCCCAAGAAGGCCTAGGGCCAACACTTGGACAACCAGCTTCCCCCTCCTTAAATAAGGGATGAGTCTGAGAATTGGTGGGCACAGGCCAGTGGCCCGGGGACCTCTGTCAGGCTAAAGGTAGAGGCCGGAGTACGACAGAATACCTTCACTCCCCGGGAGGGCCTGCAGACAGACTAGCCTGTCTCCTCTTTAAAGACAGAAAAACTAAAGCCACAAATAGCCCCCACATAAACTCTGTGGCAGACAGGCTAGCAGGTAGGCCAGAACCTAGTGCAGCTAGAGCCCCGTGGTTCAATCCTGGTAGCTTCCTGGAAGTTGTGCCTTGGGGTCCAAGGCTCTGGCTCTGAAGATACTGGCTAAGACTTGAGCAACTTTTCCCCAGCCTTCCCAGCAGGCAGGAGCTGGCTCTGCCTTGGTAAGGTCCAGCAGCAGCTCCTGGTGCCCCTTCCTATGTAAAAGAGCTTGCATCCTGCTGGGCACTGCCTGGCCCAGCCTCTGGGGCCTGCCCAGTGGAGGCAAATCAAACTCTCTGCTCCTCTCCCCTGCCTAGTGGGTAGCCAGCCCTGCACAGGCCCCAGTTTGGGACCACAGGCTATCCCCAAGGGACCAGGCCTTTCTCTCTACACTCCATGAGCTCAGGACCCCTCCACATTTGGAAAAAAAACCAGTGTGTGCTGTGAGTTAATGCTCTGGACTGCAAGGTCGGTTTGAACTGCAAGGCTGGTGGTTCAAGGTCACCAGTCGCTCCTCGGAAACTGTATACAGGGTCACCATGAGTGACATAGAACCAACTCGATGGCACTAACAACAACAGACAAAGTTGGACATAGGAGAATGGGAGGGGGACATTGAGGGAAGGAGCTAAGTAGGCAGCAGTGAAGGAGCCTCACTTTTTAGCTCTGTCACCTCCTGAGGGTCTGCAAACTCCACATGGAAGCAGGGACAGACCCCACCTCTTCCCTCCTCCAGTACAGTGGCTCACCCAGGGGCGTATCCACCAGAATGGCATTGTAGAGCTCGGCAGGGGTCTGTGCGATGTTCACGGCCTCCATCTGCTCGAAGCTGCCTAGAGGGTGGCACTTGGGCACCAGCTCGGAGATAGAGCGCTGGTGCAGCGTGCCCGTGATGAGCAGGATGACGTTGTCAATCATATAGCTGTAGCTAAGGGAGGCACACAGCAACACAGGCCATCAGGGATCCAGGGGGAGGTCCAGAAGTCCTGGCCCAGTACTATGGCTCTGCCCACACTGCACGGGCCACCAGCCCCTCAACAAAGCTGCTTTCGATAAACACCACTGTCTCATCTCTCTCCCTGCCCAAGGTGTCCCCTGCCCCAGTGTTAAGAACAAAAGAATGACTATGAGCAACTACCCACAGGACATTGGGAATTGAGGGCACATGGTGGCCGTAGGGGGCCACGATCTGAGAGATCAAAGGATAGAGAGTAAGGCTGCATTTGAGGAACTGAGCCCACCCGAGGAGCCACTGTGCTGTCGGCGGGCGTGGCCTCAAAGGTGGTCCTATGGGCTGGGCCAAGAGTCCTAACTTCAGGCCAAGGTGCTAGAGATCCCTGCGTGGGATGCAAGCAAGGTAGGTCACGGTCCAGGAAGGGTCACCCTGGCAGCTGGGTGGGGGCTGACAGGATGAGAGGGAGAGGAAAGGCCGAGGAGTATAAGGTGGGAAGAAGTTTTCCTAGATAGGGAAGAGCAGACAGGGTGGTCCCAGGTTAAGTGGATGGCTACCCTCTCCTCAGGCCAGCACCAGCCATGAAGACCTGGAGGAGACCCTGCAGAAGGCCAGCCCTGGGCGACAGCGCAGCAGCAGACTGTGGAGCTGGGGAGGGCTTGGGCTGCCTCCAACGGACAAGGCTCAGCCTTCAAGCAGCAAGACAAAGGAGAAGGGACAGAAAGTTCTGTGTGGTCACCTGGGTGGGGTTGGGGTAAGGAGAGGGCCCCAGCAGCCTTAACTTTCTTCAGCCTCTCACAATGACAAGTTCATGGCACAAGAGTAAGTGGGTGAGGCCAGTAGAGAACCTTCTCCAAGGTCAGGGTCCCCTGCCCTGAAACAGTCTCTTGAGGGAGGGGGGTCTGTTGAAGGGGCCCAGGAAAGATCCCTGGGAGAGACAGAAGGAAAGGAAGGAGATAGTAGCCAGGGCCCCAGATCTCAGCTTCCACCCAGGCCTTTAGGAAGGTGGTAGAAGGAAGAGCCCACAACTCCCAGTCCCAGCCTGACCCATGCTCTTCCCGCCTGCTGCATACTCCCTTAGCTTCCAAACGCCAGAGCCCTGTGATGACCTCTGCTCCTCTGGGCTTAGGGCCAGGCAGCTGCCCTCTCTCCACCCTGATCCGGCTGGGTCAGCTACAGGATGTGCACTGAGAAGGGACAGGCCCCTCCTTCCCAGACTGAGGGCCTCAGGCAGGGCTCATTTAAGGCTGCCAGCCTTCTGCCCCACAAGTCCCACAGGGAGAACAAGCCCACCAGAGTGCTGGGCCTGGGTCTCCAAACCCAGCCTGAGTTTTCTTCCACCTTGGAAACACCCTTCCTGCCCCGAGGCCTCCTGCATCTCACCTGCCCCAGGGATCCATGCTCTGCAGGTTCTCCCCCATCTAGCCTCCCAGTGGCTGGTCTCAAGTTCCCTGAGTCACCCCAGAGACCCGCTCTTGAGCCTCAGGATGCTCTTTTACACTAGCATAGCTCTTCAGCAGGGCTGTTGTCGATGTGTGCCATGGAGTCTATTCTGACTCATAGTGACCCCACAGGAATGGATAGAACTGCCCCATGGGGTTTCCTAGGCTGTAATCGTTACAGTCTTGGGGTGGTGCTCTAGGATAAACAAGGTCTGTGGGTTCAAATTCACCAGCCGCTCCTCAAAAACCTATACAGGGTTGATGGAAGTCGGAATTGATTCAAAGGCACTTAACAACTACAATCTTTACAGAAGCGATTGCCAGATATTTTCCCTTGTGAAGCTTGCTGGTGGGTTTAAACAACCAATCAAGTGCTTAATGGTGGACCACATGAGCTCCTTGAATACTTCTTAGACCTGTGTTATCTGCATGACCTCATAACCACCAGCCTCACCAGCCCCTGTCAGATGGAAATTCAGCACACAAAGGGGCCATGTCACACTCTAAGGCAGAAAAGTGCAAAGGCTTCATGCCCAGGGGTACCCATGGCCTGGCTCACACTCCACATCCAGCCTTGTCTTCTCGGAGGAATTCCATAGCCAGCTGTCTCTTTCTGAAGCCACCTTTGCCCCACAACTCAAGGTATCTATCTAGGCTGTGGGCAGGGTGGGGGACAGGGCCCAAGGGAGGCACTTTGGCACCCTTTGGGGTCCTGGCCCAGACCTGGAAGGAGGGACCTGTGGGAAGATGCTATCCCTCTAGTGACTTCTAACAGGCCAACAATGATTCACTTGTCAGCCTTGACAACAGGCTGCCCCCACCCCCTACCCCCTGGAAGCCACAATGGGGCACCCAGGGAAATGCCAAACCAAGAAAAGGCCACTCACTACTGCCCCACCTAAGCCACTTTCCAGACTAGCTTCTAACCTAGGCTAGGGCAATTCGGTGTCCAGGCTGGGCAGACAATAAGGCTCACTGCACAGTGGCCCCCCACAGAGGCCGGGTCTGCCTGGCACAGCCCAGCTTTCCTCCCCTGCACAGTGGGGGTCAGAATCCTCTTTTCTGAGACAAAGGGGGCAGGGCAGGCCTGGCAGAAAAGATGCTGGCCCAGCTGTCTGCCTTTTCCCCAAGGTCAAGGCCTTCAGCAGGCAGGGAAACCCTCCTCCTGCCTGGCTTTAGCAGCTGCCTCCCTGGCCCCAGAAAGCCACTCCACCATTCCTCCCCTCACTTGGCCTCACTAGGAGAATAAAGTTCCAGCTGGTCAGCGTCTCCCTCCAGAAGAAGACAGCTGGGGAGTGGATGGCCGGCTGCCCGCCAGGCCCAAAAAGTCCTTGTGGGGTGGGGGTGGGGTAAGGCAGTCTGTATTCCTCTGCCCAGAGGCTCTCTCACCTAGAGCCTTCAAGACTCAAGAGTGGGCCCACAGAAGCTCAAGACAAGTTTAGGAAGCCACTTCCTCCAGGAAGCCTGCAGAGCCCCTAGTTGGGCCCTAACTCTCTGCTGTGCCCTTTGGCGCCACCTGATGGGTGAATCAGGCTTGCTTCCAAGGTCTCACCCCCTCAGCTATGGGGTAGGTAGGCCAGGAGAGGACAAGGCAGCTAGAGATTTGTGCAAGCTATCATCAGGACCTGTGATCAACCACACTGGGGTTCTGCGGAGTCCTGCCCAGGGTGGAGAGTGAACAGAAACATGAGCCTTGGCTTCAGCATACTATTGCTTAAGGCTCAGCTTCCTCTCCACAATAAGGATCATGAGTTAAAGCTCACAGTAGAGCTAGTGTGATTCTGACCTCATAAAAATCCTGCCTCTCCCTGAGGTTCAGTTGGATTCTCCCATTTGCCCTGAGCCTTCCAGGCTTCAAGGAGCTCAAGTGCTTTCCTTAATCAGAGTGCCCATCATCAGGACCAGGAGCAAAGTCTAGCTCAGGACCCAGACAACACAGCAGGGCCCCACTGTAGACCTAGAAGCAGTGGTTGTGGCCAGTGAGGGGTGGAGGGTCAGGAGCAGGAGGCCTGGCAAGGCTTAAGGTTGGGGTAAATTCCTAGGAGAATGGCAGGTGGGCTGGTAGGCCCACTGGGCATTTCATGCCACTGTCCTGGGATACAGTCTCCTCTCAGGTGCCTACTGGTGGCACTGAGGCCACTCGCTTGAGTCCTAAGCCAGGCTCTGCCAGTGGCAGCTGGGCTGCCAACAGGTGCTGCACACTGGGGATGGTCACCTGCAGGGTGGCTCCCGCATCCAAGGTCAAAGGCCTTTTGGGCTCTGGCAACCTGGGATTCCCCAGAGACCAGGCTCGGGTTTCCTAACTCTCATAGCAACTCCAGCTTCACTTGTGGAAGCCATAGGAAGCCATCACAAAACTGCCCCACTGAGACCAAAAATCCGAATGGAAACTCCTGTCGTGAATTGCACAGCAAGTTCATGGCTGGACCTGGCAGGAACATGGGGTCTCCTGAGCCTCTATCTGACTCTAAAGGGAGCCAGAGAACCCAGCCTGCCCAAAGAGAGATGACAGACCAGCCATGACTCTGGCTGCCAGCTCGGCACTGTGGGCAGTGTAAACAAGTGCTGGTGCCCACCACCTTTAAGTACTTTCTCTGCCAATAATGGTCTCCATCACATTTTTCTTCCCGACCCCACTATGTGTTTCCCCAGTAGGTGTGGCTTCACAGTTGATGGGTTGCTCTTCCTCTTTCATGGCAGATGGTATCACCATTAAACTGAGCCAGACCATTTTAAGGTGAAATGACTGGTGGCAGTCTGTATCAGAGCAGCCTCTCTCTAAGTGGCCTGCCCTCTCCAGTGCCACCTGACCCTAGCGTCCTTCCAATGCTCTGAAGCCGCCCATGACCCCAGCCTTATCTGTTGCAGCTGTCCTAGGTCTCTCTATAGGCACTGTCCACACCACCAGTGGGACCCCATCCAACTGCATCGACACATCTCCTTCTGGCACTAAGCCTGGCCCAGAGAAGGCACTATGTGTGCTGGTTAAAAGCTGGCCAGGATCGACAAGACCAGTGTGTACTCCGTTTCACGTGGAAGGTTAGAGGAGACCTTGACCAGCTTGGGCTGGCACACCTCAGTGACAGAGTACACCTCCTAGGACGCCTGCTGCAGTTATCCTGGGGCAGCTCCAAAGTCAAATGAGAGATTCTCTGAGGAATGCGATTCAATGGTGTGAGCTTACCAACCTCCCGCCCAGCTGGGTCCCTGGAGCTGCAGTGGCCAGGACAGCTGTGTCTAGGGCTTCTTTCCTCAAGTCTTCTCCCCCAGGATGGGGCCTCAACTGATGCTTCCACCACCCAGAGGACCACATTTTTTCCTCTCTGGTTACATTCCACCAGACAGCTCCAGCGTACCTCTTCCTGCTAAGATGGGGAACCCTACCTGGAAGCTGTTATGGGGAGCACAGATTCAGCGGTTCTGTACATGGTTCTCTCAACCTATAAATCCCCTCCCCACTGACCCAATTCTTCTCTCAGCCAAATAGCCACCTCCTTAAGGCAGCTAGTCAGGAGTCTCCAGCCTGGGGGAAGTCCCCTGGCACTGGCTCCTATGAACAGCTTTCTGCAGTACTCTTCACCCCTGGACTGAGCTGCTCAGCATCTTCCAGTGCCCTGGTGGTAGGGTGGGAGTGGTGGAGGAACAGCCAGGGAGGTAGCGGTTAAACCAGAGACACCATGAGAGTAAGGAGACTGCTAGAGGAAGACTGAGGGGGACGCTGGGCTGCTAGAGAGGACAAACAACTTCCTGGAGACCTTGGCCATTTGAAGATTAGGACTTCAGTCAAGGCTTTGTGGTAGACTGATGGGGCTGCTGGAAGCCCACTGAAGGCTCAAGAGGTGAGGGGAAGGTAGGAGAACAGTGACTATACAACTTTGGGGCTACCAGATAGGTTTTCACAGATGTGAGAAATTTAAGCTGGTTTAGATACTGATGGGAAGAATCTGGAGGAGAAGGTGGCTGCACAGACTCTTGTTCAAGTGAGTGGCTACCCAGGGTCCTAAGGGTGGTAGTGAGGGGGCCCAGGTCATTGATAGAAGGTCTAAGAGAAGAGGAGGCGCCTCTGCCATTGGAACAGGGTGGGGGTGCAGATGCGCTGTTGAGAGGCCTGTTGGCTTCTATTGTCTCTGGAGGAGGAGGTGGGCCATCTGCCCAGAGAGAAGGCTGGAGGAGGGAGGGATGGTGCTTAAGATGGAGAGGTGATCTGCCCATCTTTGTGGAGGGCTTCAGGTTGCTGAGTAGGGACAGCAAGAGGCCAGCTGAGCAGTGACAAGCTGAGGCCAGCTGGGCAGGCATGCCTGGCAGCAAGAATGAGCCACCCAACGGCTGCTTCCCCAGCCTTGCTCCCAGGAGTGGTGTGGGGGAGGGTGGCTCCAAGCTGGAGGCTGCTGGGATTCCTCCAGGGCTGGGGGGCTGCCAGCCGGGCGGGGACCACAAGACAGGCAGCCAAGAAAGCTGCGGATATTGGCAGAAGAGTGTTCAAGTGATGGACCAGGGAACCTCAGCTGGGGAGGAAAGGGGCAGCAGAGAGGAAGCAAGACTCCGTGTCCTGCTGAGTCCGGATCCCGGGTCCCGCAAGGGACTGAGAGTGGGCTGGAGGGCCTGTGGGCTGTGGGTAGAGAGGGGTCCTGACTCAGCGATTTCAGGGGTGGAGCGCTTCCAGGTGGTGACACGGCCTTGGGCAGCCATCGGTGGGGGTGGTTGAAGTGCAGAGCGGAGGAGTTGGACATTTGAGATGACGAGGTCATAGAAGGAGCATCCACAGGCTCAGATGAGCTGACACGTGGCCCTTCCCGAGGTGGCCGGGAGGACTAGGAACCACAGTCACCATGAATGGACAGAGAGGGGGAAGGGGCAGATTTGGATAGCTTGCCACAGGACAGTGGTTGGCTGCTTTAAGCACGCACGCTTGGTGCTCGTAGCCAACCTCCAGCAAAGAGCTGGCAGCTGCGCAGCCCCAGGCATGCTCAGAACCCTTTCCAGTTTCACAGCCTGGCTAAGACTGAGCCTCTGAGGGCACCGAGACAGGCAGGTAAGCAAGCGGACAGCAGGATGGCTGACCTCTGACCACTGGTGTGGGGTCCAACCTCCACTGGCCAGCCTAGCTGGCAATGCTCGAACATTCACCAGGAAACTAAAGGAGCCTTGTGCAAATAAGATGCAGGTGAAGGCTGGGCTCCAGTAATAAACAGGCTGCTTCCTGTTATGTCCTCAGCTCTGACCTTGGGCCAGAGGACAAACAGGACCAGACTAGGGATCAGATGACTGATGGGGGTGTGCAGAATAGCCCCCAGTGTAAGAGCACATGATACACCCCCACTTCGTGCCCTCTGCCCTAGTCAGACCCTGTCAGAAGGGTGAGTGCAGGTCAGCAGAGAGGGCCCCAAGGCAGGAGGCCTGTGGCTAGGAGTGGGCCCCTTCTTGGCCTCAGCAGCTTCTCTCAGCCCTTAGGATGGTTCCCTCCTGCCTGAGGATGGCACCCTTCTGGTTGCGGCTCTCATGATCTTGAGCAAGTAGCTGTTCCCTGCTGGGGGTGGGGGTCAGATCAGGCATCTACCCTGTCCCTTCAGGGATATGTGGGGTAGGTGTGCCAGGTCCTAAGAGGGGAGAGTGTAATCAGAGAATGGTCAAAACTACTCAGTATCCAGAGAGTGCCTGGAAATGCTTCCCCACGGCCCAGGCCCCACACTCACTCCTGGCCGCCAGCCCCTCTTAGCATCTCTCCTCATCACCTGTAGGAGGCAGCTACCTGGCCAAAGGCCATTGCTTTGTACACCAGGTTCCCCGCCCCCGTCATTCCTGCAGAGGGCTCCTCTCTAGCTCCATTTCTACAGACTCACATGACCAACAGAGGCTGCCCCAACCTAGCGGCTGCCCTGCCTGGTGGCCTCAGGGTCCTTGCCTGTACTTGCTTCTCTATGAGCAGAGTGGAGCAAAGGCAGGGGCTGTGCCACAAGGTAAGATGATGGGGAAGCTGAGGAGCCAATGGAAAGAAGCATGGGGGCCTGTCCATCAGGGCTCTGGGTGGCTTAGGCCAGAGCTGGGGAAGGCAGCCAGGCATTTGGTACCCCCACCCACCGTACCCCATCTCCCTGAGACCTAAGACCATGGTCTGAGCAGATGGAGAATGGTCTCAGATCCAGAGAGGGTGAGCAGGCCCGAATGGCCCATCCCAAGAACCCAGCTCCTCAAAGTCATGACCATTCTCCAGCCCCTGACCCAGAGGTGGGGTCCAGGAAGTGCTCAGTGTGAGTTCTATAGGGAAAATGAAGAAAAAGGCTCCCATCTTCCCAGGTTTCCCCACCCCAAACTCTGGGAAAGGGACACTTTCGCCTGCCCATCAAATCCCTGAGCAACAGTGACACTGCTGGTGACCCCATATGACTGTCGAATGACCAGTCCCATCACCCAGGCTGGGAGGACTACAGAGGCAGCCAGCCTGAGCCTACTCCTCCCAGAGTGAGGGAGGCACGCAACCCCGGGCACACTCACGTAATGAAGTCCAGGAAGCTGGCAAGGGGCTCATAAGCGTGGTTCCTCATGTGGCGGAACTCCACTACCATCTTCTCCTTGAGTCGGTCGTCGATGACCGACACGGTGAGTGGAGAGGCCTCATTGGCCAGGAAGTTGCCATAATCGGTACTCTGCAGGTGCAGCTTCAGGTCTGAAACCCAAGAATGGAGGTGAAGGCTGGCGTCTCCGAGCCTCCCCAAGGGTCCCAAGTCTCCATCCCTACTGAGACTCTATGCCCTAGCCTCTCCCCTAAAATCATGCCTGGCTACTGACCTGACCTTCTGCCCTACTTCTACCTCCTGTTCTTGGCTCAGAGCATACCCCAGGACAGCTAGTTCTAAGTTCTGGCCATGAGCCAGCCCTAGACCCTGAACCCAGGGTCCAAGCAAAAGCTGAACAAACACAGGGAAACCCAGCTGAGACCCTAACCTTAAGCCTTTGAGGACCTTCTGCATGCCATGCTCCAGGACAGCCCTAACCCCAAACCCAAGACTTGAGTTCTAGCTCTTGAAGACCCCCAAAGCTGGAGGAGCACAGAGTGGAGAGGGCCGTGACACAGGACAGAGAGGATGAGAAGGGAACAAGAAGAAAGGAAACAGTCTGCAGGATGGTGTGAGTGAAGAGTGGCCAGGACAGCGAATGAGAGCCGGGTGGGGAGAGGGAGGAAACTGGGCTTCCTCTAGGAGAGACAGGAGGCAGCAAGCCAACCAGGAGGTTTCTCTCCAGAACTGAGACGGGGAGGGAAGACAGGAGAGGACAGAGCAGAGTGGTTCTGGGCAGGCATGACAGGTGAGACCAAGTGGGATCATGGCAACAGCCTAGTGGTCGCCCCACTTTTGCCCTTGGCCACTCCCATCCCTGAATTCATCCTTACACAGCAGTCTTTTCAATCCGCCTCAACTCCTTGATGACTCCCGTTTCATGCGGAGTGGCCGCCTGTGTGGTCACCTCCACCTCTCTGACTTGACGCCTACCACCCTCTCCCTCCCTCGCTGCCCTGGCCACACTGGCCTCTCTTCTGTTCCCTAAGGAGCAAGCATGGACACATTCAGGGCTCGGGCCTCTACAGCTCCCCTCCCGTGTCCCCTCTTCAAAGACCTCGCCTGCAGCCCCATCACTGGCATCCTTGCTCTTTGTAGCACCGAATCAGGATACATATAGGCTCCATGCAGGGAGGGACTTTGGGTCACCAAGGTATTCTAGTCTACAACAAGTTAGGGTCTGGTGTGTTTTCATGCTCAGTAAGTAACTAACTGTAGAGCGAATGGAAGAAGGGGGAGGGTTGGTGAACATAGCAGGAAGGTTTACTCCAGGACTGAGACGGAGGTGACTTCGGCAGTGATGCCAGTACAGAGGACAGACTGAGAACAGACCCGTGGCAAGTGTGTGTGTAGCCCAGCAGCCAAAGCTGACTCCTGCTGCCCAGGTGATGACAGGAGGGGTTCTACTTGTGGTCATTCTCACAAGCCGGAGCTCCCGATCGAGGCCTCCCATGTATCTCTGGAGTCCAGAGGGCCATGCTCTCCTGGGCTGCCAGAGGGGAAGAGAGGGTAGAGTCTACAAGTCCTCTATAGGCTTCAGGACCCCTGTGATAACTCTCCTCCTGTAATCCAACAAGAGAATAGTGGAGAGATAGGTGTCCTAAATGAGACATGGAAGAAAGTATATGGGAGGGAGAAGAGGGATGTGCCCACCTCCTAACGCATCTCTGGGGGAGGGGGGGAAATCCCCTGTGGCTCCCAGGCACTCAGAGTGGACTTCATTTAGCAGGAGAAGTTGCTGCCCCCTCATCACTCTCAAAAGTGAGATGGAATACGACAGCAAGACAGGACAGGGGGATGCTACCAGCCCTCTTGCTCCTCCCGGAGACACTTTTTTGTCCCAGAAGTGTGCATGCCCTCCTGTGTCCTCACCCAGGGCTGCTTGTTGTTCTACCTACTCCTTCCCACCCTTCTCCGCTGCAGTCAGGCCAAGTCCCAGCTACTCCTGGGTAAAAGAAGGCTGGCCGATGCCCAGCAGGTGCTCCAAGCCCCTAGGGGCAAAGCTGCACTGTGGACAGCAGCTGGGAGTCAGGGCCGGAATGCGGTGCTCTGGGTCAGACCATCTGGTGCAACCGCTGCCAGCCCAAACCTGCCTGTTCATCCCCTAGTCAGTCAGCCAGCCAGAACCCCTCTCGGGCCCTGGAGTTGGCTTTTAGCTCACAGCCTTGGAGGCCAGGCCAGTGTGCTGAATCAAAACCCAGCCCTCCTCATGGGCCCCTTGTGCTAGTTGAGCCCACTATGCTCCAGGACATTGCATCCAGCCTCCCAAATCCTCCAAAGCATTCATGCGTCAGGCCTCCCGCAGTTCTCTCTGCAACCTGCTGCCACTGCCCTTCTGAATCCCAGGCACATGCTGCTGGAGGCTTCCCTGAGCAGGCGGGCAAGTGCACACTGTCACCTCCCACTCCATCTCCTCACAAGTCCTCCATCGGAGTGAAATTTCTTCCGCCTCTGCTTCACATGGCTGTTCTCCCTGGGAAGGCTGGCTATACACGGCCCTGTAACGAGTCTTCAACTAATAGCCAGCACTGGTTAGGTGTGAACTGTCACCTCAACAAGATATGGGAAACCCAACCCCACTCCAACTAGAAACACACGCCTACTGCCTCCTTAGCCCCAGTCAGGATCCTCAGGGCCATATCCATTCCAGAACTCAGAAAGGAGCAATTAGGGGGAGCAGGGGCCTTAGCTTGAGGCCACAGTCAGGCACAGATGTGGATTGGATCTGGTGGATCCTGTCCGTGCCCAACTTGCTCTTCTCTCTTTCTACCCACATTCTTCCACAGCCCTTGGCCCTTGACAGCCCTTTCAGATACAGACTAGCTGCCAGACAGCTTTGGGCACCTCTCTTTAATCCTAGAAGGGTTGGCAGGTGGCAGAGAGGTGGGAGAACCCAAAAGCATGCCCCCTCCCCAACCACTGACAGCCTGACAGAGGCCCTGGGTGGTCACAATTCAGAACAAGCCCTTCTGACATCACCTGGAGATGTTATTCCTAGAGAAGCTGAGAGCATGCTCACATGCACAAGGGCCCAAGGTGAGTTGCGCTGCTATAGCCTGGGGCTCAGCATGGGACTCACAGCAACCCCCCTGGGCCTGTGCTACTGTGTTCTGCTGACACTGCATCTGGGGCAGCCACGCCTCCGAGCACCGCTGGAACACTGACGGCTGGGTGGTTTTCTGCTGGCTTTATGTCGGATCAGAGCAAACCCGGGAGACTACCGAGAATCCTGCCCAAGGCCTGAGCAGTCTTCCTTACCAGAAAACTCATTTTTTAAAAGGCCCCAGGGACAATGTCAAAGGGCCATTCCAGCCCACTTTCCCTGGCCAAACCCTACATCTCCCTGTGACCCAGGGCGAGGGGACAGCCTGCCAGCCAAAGAGGAGATTTGGAGGGAGGCAGGCTAGTCGATTCTTAGGCTTGCCCACAAGGGGACCACACAGGGCTTCTGAAAAGCTTTAACCCTGCTGGAGAAACGTGGTGCCCAGGCCCAGTGGTTGCCAACAATGGTGTCCTCAGCCCTAAACCTCTAGACAGTCCTCAGGCCGGAACTAGGCCAGGCAGGACCCTCCCTCCCCACCCCCAGCTTCCTGTTCTCTGAGGGATGAGGGGGACGGATGCGACTGGGGGTGGGTTCTGTGTGAGGAGAGGCCTGGAACTTGTTGAGAGCTTCGTGGGAGACCTGGCCACCCAGTCCTGGCCCAGCCCCCAGGAGCAGTCGAGGACGGCAGGGGCTCTGGGAGGCAGACAGGCCAGTTCTGCTCTGTGCCCTGGGCTCAGCAAGCCTGAAAGCCTCAATGATGGCCCGAGAGCCCCTGACGTGCCTGGGCTGAGGCAGGTGTGGTGTTCTAATTAGTACAGACTTGGGGGACCACTCTGCTCTGCCCACAAGCCCAGCTGTCTACCCCAATCCTTTTCCATCCATGGCCCAGCACAAAGAACACCTGGCCAGCTTGGGATCTCTCATAGTAGACTGCCTCAGAGGTACATTTCTCATGTTCAAGAAGATGCTGCTGCCCTCACAGCTTCCTCTGCAGCCTGACTTCACCCCTGCTCAGAGAAAGAGGGCCAATTCAGTTTCCCAGTGTCTCCAGTCTCCTCTCAGGGCCTTGGCTTGCTCCCCAGCAACCCTACCCCACCTAGGACCTTTTCAGACCTCCTCTGCTTTCCAAAATGTCAGCAAGAACCATTGGGTCTCTTCCCCAACTCCATCTCCTGGCAATGCCCAGGCCTCACTGCCAAGATGCCTCCAACCTGACATCATGGCCCTCTGCTACCAAGTCTACTTTCCACACTGTCATCAAAGTGAAGTCCTCCAACTCCAGTGTGCTACTGTCACCTTCATCCAGAGCTAGCTCCTCTTCTGTCTCCTTCCCATAGCCTATGAAGCCCTGTGCTGAATTCTGCCCTGGCCATGGACCTCAACTCTGGTCTACCAACACTATCCTTGGGTGAGAGCAGCATCCCGACTATCTCTGCCCCAGCAAGTACCTCAGGGAAACCTATGGGTTGTTCTAAAGAGAAGATGTGAAGTTCAGAAAACAGAGCTACTTCCTCAGGCTCAGAAGGAGGGGCTGGATTGGGAGGATGCACATCCAACCTGGAGAGTGGGAGCCCTGGCCTCCCTCCTCCACAGGGCAGCATTGTTGTGTCAAAGTCCAGCAGGGTCCAGTGAAGCTCTCTGAAGGTGGCTGAGCCAAGCTGTAACCCATTAGCCATTTGTCCTGATTCCTCCTCCCAGAGATCATGAGGCCATGCCAGACTAAAACTGGCCCCATTAGCATCCATGTTACCCCTGTGCCCTGCCTACCCCATATCCCAGTTACCACCCCAGTCTGGCTATTAGTACGGGGGGCATGGGAACCCATAGCCTGACCAGCACTTCCTGCAGAATGGAATGTGGGGCAAGACCACAGCCCCTGCCAGGCTTCATGAGGTGGCAGTTAGGCAGCTCTGTCCCTCCCTTCTAAAACCGTTCCCAGACCCTGACAACCTCAAAGGTGTCATCTTTTAGTCCCTTCAAGGCTCAAAGAGGTTTCTCCAACTCTCAAACTCCCCACCCCCAGTTTCTGTAGCCCTTCCCCAAAGGCCCCAAGAAGCAGGAAAAGAG